TCTGTACTTGCATCGTGTTTGGCGCTTTCCTGAATACTTTATTTTTTAGGCCACCACAATCTTTGCGACAGATGAGGACATCAAGGAAGGAGACAACGTCGAAGAAACTGGCGAATTGACAAACACGTGGCAGCAGTGTGGTGAAACGACGCCAATTGCAGTAATTTTATCCTATAAACACTGCAAATTCCTGTGCATATGTTACCCGTTTCTGCTACTGCTTCCAGTTTATGTCTCTGGTGAGGAATCCATGACGGATCTCGAAACGACAGGCGAATAAAAGTGTTGTCCCAGCGATGAAGTCGTCTTCTTCGCCGTCAAAGATATTTAAAAATGGTCGGTCTATTGAGCAGACCCATATTCCATATCATCACACTATTCGGATGCAACCTCGACGCAGCAGAGTTTTTTGTAAAAACTTAATTAAATTAGTCGGATGAAGGAAAAACTTCGAAAAAAATCACTAACAAGAGGAAGACGGTGCGGATAGACCGTCTACAAACAGCAGACCATACAGTAAATGGCATGGACCGCATTATTCCACGAAAAGGAGTGAATAGGTAAGAAAATGGTGCTTGGTAAATGCTTTGGGTCAGAAAGTTGCGACGATCAAAGGAATATTGACAAAATACGACGAATTCAAACTATTATTATACACGGAATCATTAACTGCGTCATTTGATCCTTTTATATTGGCGTTTTTGATGCTTCTGGCTGTCAAATTGGTTTGAAACAGTTTGGTTTGATGTGAGAGGACGAAGACGCACTAAATAACTTTTTCGACCAAATACTCGGTTGCAAAAACCAGGACTTAGAATTTCATTCTCGAAGATGAGCATATATTTGAGCTAAACACACAAGAGGATAAAAAGTCCACAAGAATGACAGGGATGCGCATCTGAAGCGGCGCCGCTTCAGAAGAGCTTCTGTGAATTCGGCGCCATAATGTACACCCCAGTGAAGTATTGCTAAGTTAAAAGACACAAAATTATAAATTCTCTGAAGTCGGTAGCTTTGAAAACAACTGTTGATGAGTGCTGAGATGACGAGCACATAAAGCTCAAATGTAAGCGCACTTAAAACAATTGGACTGCTCAATGAGTTTCTTAAATATTAACTGGTCGTGTAAAATCAACAGAAAAATTGGACACTTAAGCAATTATAATGATCGGTCATTAATGTCTATAAGAAAAAAGAACCAGCACCAACCAAATACGAACGGAAGGATAGCCGGCACATCAATCAATCCCTTCGATTTTCACCCCATTTAAAGATATTTCTAGGAACAATATGAAAGTTCTTTAAATAACAGTCAAATCGTTAAGTTTTTCGTATAATTCCGATAAAAACTACCCTTTCGGTGTCTCTACATAAGAACCTACATATTTATATTGTTCAAATAAGTCACAGCACTGCAACGTACGAAAGAAGAACGCGAAACTGTCTTAGTGTAAACCATGTTTTTGCCTAAACCCTATTATATTGTAAAAAAATTGTATGCATTATTTTTGGAGTTAATTTGTTGACTTAAATGTACCTCAAAAAGCAGTAGCGCGTTGAAAATGTACGTATTTCGTAAACACTCTTGGTAATTAATCACTGTTACTTTCCATTGTATCAACTCGTCAGGTACATTTTTTACGTTAACTTATTCTCGATACTAACGTCTTCACCATAATGGTCAGGAATAACTTGATTAGACAAGGATATTGTTCATTTTTAAGGTTACTTCGTCATTTTTCCGTATTAATGTGTAATTTCTAGAGGATATAGCACAGATATTTATGTGTAATGTATAAATCGTTACAGTTTATCCAAGGACAGATATGAACTGTGTGATCTGCTGAACTGTCACCCTTTAGCGTAACCATATGGACGTGCGTGGATGAAACCAAATGTCTGCACCACCGGCTGTGATCGGAGCGGGTATACCAGTCCAGTCCTCCGAATGTAGATGAAGGAAAACAGTTTAGTCTTCGAATCGTTTCTGCGTTTTGGTATAAACAATGGACATACTAAGCCGGCTGTACTCCAAAAACTTGTCGTAGTATTAAGTATTCCTATGAAAAATGGGTGAGATTGTCTCTAGGGGTCGGAGTTTTTCATAACCTAGTATAACCGTCTACTTTCAAAATTTAAGTAGGCATACT